AATTAACAACCCACAAAAAACAACAACAATAACCCCCCCCCACAAAAAAAACAAAACACGAACAAACCCAAAAACAAACAAAAAAACTGTGGAAAACAGAAATCACAAACAGCCTGTGTGGAATTTGAACTAAGACGAGTCGCACTGTACCCTGACGTTATTTCTAGCAGCCTCACCGTCAAAACAGTGGATGGGGTAGTTGCACAAGACGCCCCCGTCCACGTAGACATCAACTTGCCCGTGGTTGTCATAGCGACGGGCGGAAAACACACCTGGGGATGGCGGGAAGACAGTTGTCAGGCATGCTGGTATATCTGATAAAAATCTAAGGATTGAGAGGAGCATGACATATCGCTCTCTTTCAGAATTACAAAGCTGTATCTGACTTTTTTGGTCGTTTTGAGTTACTTAGACCATGAGGTCAGAAACCAAATTAAATGTTCTATCTGCTCTATCAAAATGGTAAGATTATTCGGAGTCATTGTCAATATTTTCAAAGAAATGCATTCCAAAAAGCTTGACATGATATGAAATTCAAAATCTTTGACGTCAAATTTCTTAAAACTATAAGGTACTGTGCAGACAGAATGTTGTTATTCTGAGGTAGCGATACATTATTACATCGTGCGTTTCTCTCTCTTGTGCCGTATGTAACTTAATAATGTCTGTAGCTCTATGCCCCTTAGGGGCAGGAATTGTGGAAACTTGGAAAATATTGTAAGACCTAATCCAATTTATTTCGCACAATACAGGTTTCGGTACATTCTTACTTTTGTGCGACTTCCGGGCCCCTTTCTCAGCGACGTACACAAAATAATAAATAGGGTATATTCATCACTTCCGTAAGAATGTCGACAGAACTTGCAACATTATGTTACATTTGTGGGAGCTACTACAACGTATAAAGCATGATCCACATATTATATAAAGTACGCCGGCGGTGTTTTCCTTTCATTGTATTCTGCACTGTAAAATATTTTAAGCTCAAGTGCACGTAATATGAGATGTTTAAAAAAAATACTTATATACATCTAACAGTATATCAGACAACATACATAACACAGCGGGGAAAACCAAATCTTGAACTCAAAACGTTCGCGACAACTAAATGTGGAAAACGAGAAAAAAAGCACGAAAACAACACCCAAAGAAAACTGGTGTATTGTTTGGATATTCAGACTAAGCATGGCCATTGATATACCCATATGACACATGGCAAAGACAATAATATATTGATGTGCAGATATTATCTGACTTGGCATAGTATGATGAAATACATACATATCAGCTTGGCAGAGCAATATACTTAAACATAATATTATCAAACTTGGCATAGTTACAGACACACACACACACACACACACACACACACACACACACACACACACACACACACACACACACACACACACACACACACATATATATATATTCATATATTCATACCTGGTATGGCCATGGACATGCAGAGAGCATCTCGAATAGGCATGTCTGGTGTAGTCTTTGGGTGGCAATACTCGGCTCTCATTTGGTTCAGGTTCGTCACTAACACACACAGCTCCATGTTCTTTTCCTTATACAGCTGATGGGTGTGGGGTATGATAGTGTGGAGATTAATACAGTAATACATCGCCATAAGGCGTTTTCGATACATTCATCTTAATGAGGAAAAGGCTTAATTAACTCTGAGAGAGAGAGAGAGAGAGAGCGAGAGAGAGAGAGCGAGAGAGAGAGAGACAGACAGACAGACAGACAGACAGACAGACAGACAGACAGACAGACAGACAGACAGACAG